AAAAAAAACAAAATTTTCTTTTTCCACACCGGTTATATAATTCCCGTATATACATCTTCAAATTTAATGTGTCTTTTTCGTTTCTTTTTCGTATTTGTTTGGATCTCTTTATGCTTTTTTTTCTGTGTCACATTGTTCTTTCTTTATTTGTTTATTTTGCATTAGTACTACGCACATTTCTAAACATTTATGTCAGATGTTACATCGGACTTCTACATCTTGTTGATGCATTCTATAAAAATATCTGGCTATTTTTCTACATCTATTTCTTTCTTCTAGTTATCTGATTTCGTTTAACTGGTTTTTTTTTCTCATCTCATAAAGAATAACAATGGAAACATGATCGGCAATATCTTTCAAAGAAAAGAAATTTCTATTTACGTCTTGTTTTTTAGAATATTTGATTAAAGAAAAAAAAATATGATATAATCATGACCTGGTATGGATTCGCTAACAAATGGTAATGAAATAAAAATATTTACAACAACAATATATTTCTTTTTGATTTAACAACTTATAGCTAATATAATTGTTAATCAAGCATGAACAAGTATCGGTAAGATTAAAATCAATATTGTAAAATATTTTTTCCAATCAACTTGTTGATAATAAAATATATTTCTTTTTTTGAATTAAACAAGAATATATTACTAAATTAATAGAAGTTTGTCGAATTAGATTGTTTTTTCTTCGTTTTGATTGTCACATATATTTAACTCATTTTCAAATTAAATAAAATTGTTATGCTTAAAAGATTTATATTATTTCCATTTGAATAAATCTAATAAGCGGAATTTTTTTCTTCTCTCTTTTTGCACTGTTCTCTCTTTATATTTATTATCATTTGTAGCGAATCGAATAACATGAAGAAAGAAAGAAGAAAGAAAGACTACATATATAATTGTGTTTTTTTATACTACACGAATGCTTGAGAATAAGAAGAAAAAAAAGAACGTCATAAATATGCTCGTTCGACATTCTCTTGCTTGTATTGCCAAAAACAACTGATTTCATTTCCGTCTTGTTTTTTCTTTCTTAGCTCTTGTCATATGATGTGATCATAATTGGATAGCAATTTGACTATCGATTATTTTTACACACACACACATCCACCCACATAATTTGTTGTTCTTATTAAGAATCTTATTATTTGCTTATCTTTTTTTTTCTTTTCTTGATTAGAATGCTTTTGGATTGTACAATTATATTTTAATCTTACTTTAATCCATATGTGTATGTTAATGCTTTCAGAGTACCAATTAACTAGCACCGTTTAGGTGTATGGCCACTTCGACTCAATATATTTTAAGAATCGATAAAAATCTACTAATTTATTTTATTACTCATTACATATTACTACTTAAGAGATTTAAGCAAAATTTCTTTCAAAAAGATAATTGCTGCATGATTAAATCACTATTAAAACGATTAAAATCAACAAAATGTTATCTGATGATTCATTACAAACATCAGAACCACAATCACCACATCCACCGCAGCCAGCATCACGACGATCCTCATCTAAATTATCATCATCATCATCTTTTCAATTACTTTCAGCATGTACAGGCAAACAAAAACGTCGTGAACGTCATGATTCCAATACGACAGATAGCTCATCATCTCAAACTGTCATCCGTCGTACAACATCATGGCGATGGGTGATCGTTTTTGCCTCATTTTGTGTACATTTTGTTGCTGATGGTCTTCTTTTTTCATTTGGTATACTTATGCATTCAATCAAAGATGATTTAAAACTTGAACTACATACTGTCGGTATTATTGCATCATTATTTGTTAGTTTACCTCTCTTATTAGCACCCTTATGTAGTGCAATGGTAAATAAAATTGGATGTCGAATTATGACTATGTTAGGTGGTTTACTTTGTTCTATCGGATTACTTTTTGCTTCGTTTTATGGTAATTTTCTTGGTGCACTTCTTGGTATTGGAATAACCTGTGGTGAGATGATATTTAACAAAATAATATATATAAATGTATCATTAATTTATATATTCATCTAGGTATTGGTCTGTCATGTGTTTATGTTCCAGCAGTTGTTATTGTAGCACATTATTTTGATGAAAATCGTGCTATTGCAACAGCTGTTGCCGTTGGTGGTACAGGTATATATTTATAATTAATATGAAATAATTGTTTTCAAAGAAAAACCCATTAAAAAAACATATGAATTTCTAGGTCTTGGTAATGCTGTTGTTGCACAATTAATTCATGTGTTAAATGATTATTATGGTGATTGGAGAGACACAACATTATTTTTATCTGGTATTCTTTTTACAATTGTTCTATTTGGAGCACTTTTTCGTCCTGCAGAATTTACATTTCATCGTAAAGATAAAAATTATCATCATACAATGAATGATATGCGTTTACCACCATCGTGTATGACATCAATGGAAAAATTACAACGTTTTATTGTTGAAATGGATAAACAATGTGCATTAAGACATGCAAATCAATCAGTTAGTATATCAATATCAAATAATAATGAACGAGTATCAAATCATGATCGAATATCAACACATGATGATAATGATTCAATATCAGTTGCAAATGAATCGGATCTATTTGATTCATATTCAGCTGATGATATAACAGAAATTCAACATGGAAATAAACCAACAATAGATATGAAAACATTTCGGGAGAAAATTTCAAATGATAGAACATTTATAAATGAACGTTGGAAAAAAATAACAAAAAAACAAGGAGAAACAGGAACAAATTCGAGATTATTTCGTATGCCAAATTTTCGTTATTTAATATCAAATAAAACAAAAGAACGAAATAGTACACTGACAATACCGAATCAAAATAAAAATCCATTAATTGATAAGATAAATCCACCAGCCCATCATTTAGGTCATCATGGTCGAGATAGACAAATTCCTATTTTGAATGATCAAAAACAACCTAGACTCTCAACACAAATACCAATCGAAGAAAATCTTAATAAAAAAGAACCAATTATAATAGTATCAGGTAAATTTTTTAATTTAAAAATTCTATAATTTTATTTCTATTATTAATATATAGAACATATTGATTTAGCACCAATATCAAATAAAGAGATAACTTTAGCTCGACGTCCTTCAGTTCGATTTCGTTCTCTTGCACCGGGTCAACAAAAACAACATTTATTACAAGTTTATTATCAACCAATTAATCAAAAAGATATTTTTTATCCTGGAAATGTTCCAAGAAAATTATCTGAAAAAAAACAAGCATTATCAGCTATAAGTTGTCCTGATTTAATTCAATCATATGTATATGAAGAATCTGCAACATCTATTTCTAGTTCATCATCAGAATCCGATGATGAGGATGAGGATGAAAATGGTTCTGGACATCATCGTCGTCGACGTCGTCGATTACTTTTCTATCGTAAAGGTTTATCATTTCTACATACATTACGTCGTATGTTAGGTTTACAATTATTTCGTGATTATCGATATGTAATGATATTTATCTCACAATTTCTATTTTATTTATTTTATGATTTAATTTATTTATTTCCGGGTTAGTCGAAAAAAATTATGTATATACATATATATCTTGTATTTATTTATTTTAGTTGATTATGGAGAAACAGTTATTGGTTATTCAAAAGCACAAATGACTATGTTAGTGACATACCTTGGTCTAGGTCAATTTGTTGGTCAATTATTCTTTGGTTTTCTAGCTAATTATTCAGTTATTGATGAATTAATATTGTATAATATTGGTGCAATATTTTGTAGTATTGCTAGTTGTCTTATACCATTTGTTGCGTATTCATATGTTGCATTAGTAATGGTAATTGTACTATTTGGACTTTCAGTATCCGCAAACTATGCATTAACATCTATTATTCTTGCAAATATGTGTGGTTTAGAATTATTAACGTCAGCTTATGGACTTATTCTACTTGGACAAGGTTTGTCATCTCTATTTGGACCAATTATGGGTGGTAAGAAAATAGGATTTAAATTCATTTTTTTAATATTATTATCTAGGTTGGATTGCTGAACATTATGGATATAAATCATCATTAATTATAGCTGGAATATTTATGGGTTTATCTGGTTGTGTAACAATGATTTTATATGTAATGCAATTTTTACAAGAAAGAAAAATAAAAAATACAAAAACTGAAAAACCGATCAAAACAAATAGGACGATTGTTAAGTCAGATAGTTAGCAGTAAGAACAAATAAAGATTTTTCATTCCAGTTTAAATTTATTTTATCAAAAAAAAAATTATAATCTCTTTTTATCTATTTAACAGTGATCTTGAATAAATAATTATAAATTTTCAAAATAATTCTTTCGCTTCTATTCATATTCTTAAAGAATCTCTTCTTTTTAATGCTGTAGACATATTCGCTTTTTTTCTAGTCGCTTTTTAATTAAATTTGTAGAATATTTATGTTTTAATCAAAGATTCGTGATATCTAATCTATATCCGTGTCTATTATTTTTTTTCCTTCTCTTGTCTTTTTGTGTTGTTGTGCTGCACGTGCATGAAAATAAATTTACTTTTAATATATATTTATACATATATATATATATATATAAGTTAAACAAAAAAAAGAAGAAAAAAAAACGGCAAATATAAAGGTGTACAAGACATCTATACATAAGATGATGCTGACAAATGAAGCGAAATGGTGGTTTGTCTATTGCACGCACATATACAAACAACAAGAGACAACACAATCTAATTTTTGTAATCAATATGATAGAAGGATATGTTGGTTTTTTTCTCTCAAGTAGAAATTTATTAATCGTTTTTCTATTAAATATTATCTTTCAAAATTAATTAAACGACGACCAACTAGATATTTTTCATCACGTACATGTTCAAATAATAGACGAAGTTGTTTGATTTGAAATATAACAAATGCTAATAATAACATAAATGATATTATAGCTGAATAGATATAACGTTCAATTTGATGTACAGTTGTTGAATAAAATAATGATGGTGCTATATATGATACAGCTAAGTATGGAAATGCCATAAACATTCCAATATTCAGTGTAAATGGTAATAGAAATTCATTAATTAAAAATGCAAAATCAATACGACGTAAACCATCTTGATAAAGACGTTCAAGAACAGCTTTTAAACGCCATTGAGGACCACTCATAATCAATGCTAGAAACATACAAATGCATCTGTAAAATCATTTTTCAATTACGCTTATATTTCAGTATAATTCATCATATATGAAATTCTTAGATTAATCATTCTATGTATCGAAAATCTTAAATATAATTATTCATCTACTATCAGTGACAATAATCAATATTTTAGAACACAAATACGTGATCAAAGCATATAACAAAATATGTGTCGGTTAGAATTTCGTTGTCAAAGAATGTAAATATATCTGACAAATTGTTTTTGAGTATGCTGACATTTATAAATAAATAGTCAATTATCTTTCAGCAAACCATTGCATGTTTCTAGGTTTACAGAAATTCAGTTAGAATCTAATATTCTTCTATAATATAAACACGAAATTTCATATTCTACACTCTCACAGAATTTACACTAGTAATTTCTTTACCTATAGCTATTTTTGTATTAAGTAAACCAATAATCCAAACACGTAATGGTGTGAGTACAGCGGTTTGTTCAATAGATGTACTTAAAGGTATAATCAGAACTACAAAACAAAAAATATCATTAAATTTATTAAGAATTTTAAAAGAAGGACAAAACATACCTAATTCACTTGCAAGTCCAATCATAAATGGAACATAACCAATAACACAAAACGTACACATTACAACACGTAAACATAAAATACTGTATGATTTTAAACGTGTTAAGATATTATTGATATCAAATGGTAGAAGTGATCGAATAAAAAATATAATACGTGATATAAGCCAAAGAATATATAAACCAGTAAGTATTGTATATAATTCATGTAATTTTGCTGAACCTGTTACAAGACCAAGAAGACAACGACCAATTGTTGCTGGAATGGTTAAACCAAGAATAGAAAGGATTGCTAATGATAAACAAGTAAATAAACAAAGGCCAACTAGACGAAGACGAAAAAATGTTGGTTCAATAAATGTTTGAGCTGATGATGATGGCGTTGTAGGTGTTTGTACAGGTGGTACTTGTTCAACTTGATCAGGAACATTGACTACTGGCAATGGTAAAACATTATCATTTTGATCGACTCGTGGTGTATTTGTAATAGTTGGTGATGATGCATCACCAAGAAGAAATGAACGTAAACCTAAAAGCCATGACGCTAATTCAACCCATAATTGAAGCTAAAAATATTTAATATGCATTAAAAGAAGAAGAACATTAAAATATTTTTTTATTTACCAAATATTTGAGCATAGTTCGTGTATGTCCTTGTTCAAGTAATGTTGGTAATATACCTTGTAATAAAATAAATTCAATCATTAATTCACTTACAACTGTTTCTAGACTTCCTTTAACATTAAATGGTAAGAATTTTGGTATACAACGTATAAGTAATTCACTAGGAACATAAAACATTAGAATAATAACAAAACCAAACACAATAATTGATGTTGCAAAACGTCTTAAATGTAATGCAAGTGGTAATTGAATCATTTCTTGTATAGGATTAAAATCTAAATCATTGATAGATTTTAAAAACCATAATGCACCTGGTCGTACAACTTCACGTAAAAGAAATATAAATGTTGCAAAATAAAAAACAAATACCATTCCACATAACCAATGTAAAAATGTACTTGTACCAGGACTCATTTGAAATTGTGTTAAACGATCATTTAATGTAACTGTACGTTCATTTAATATTCTTAATGAACATACATCAAGCCATATTCCACATATAAATGGAAAAAGAAGAATTTCTAATATAACAAGTAATGCTACTTTTAATACAATATAAGCAAGTCCAACAAGACGACGTATACGTGTTAAATAATTGACAAAACTGAGTATAGTAAATGTTATTAATAGAACAAATGATATGAAAAAATAACCAATAAATGCATTGACACAACCTAAATTATAAATTTTCTTTTTATAAAAAAATATACAAAAATAATAAGAATTTTATTACCATATGTTGTTAAAGTATTAATTGGAATTGTAAAACGTGTATCGGCAATTGTTTGTTTAAAGGTTTTACTTGATATGATTATTTTACCGAGATGATAAGGTGCATATGCAAATATAAGAATAAATAATGTATTTAGTGTAACAACCCAAAATACATGTTCAAGAAATTGTAATGAACCATCAAGACCTAATAAACGCTCCCATGTTAAATCATCAGCAGCTCGATCCCAATCAATCCAATTATGATTATGTTCAGCATTTTGTGCATTTCCAGCAACAACAGCTGGTTGAGCAATTAAATTTGCTTGTTCTTCTTCACCATCTTCATCTTCATCATCATCATCTTCATCATCAATAGCATCCACAAAAGCAACTTCTTCATGTTCAAGTTCATTTTCTATAGAAAAAAATTAATATTAAAATGACATATTTTTCAATATAATGACTTACGAGGTATTGGTTGTTCAGGATTGATAGGATCAGGTTCGACAGGGAGAGGAGCAGGAGGAAGAGGTGGAGGAAGAAGAAGAGGTATTGCGTCAACTGGCACTATTGGTGCAATACCATTTGCTTGTAGTGGTGGTGCTACTGCTGCGGCTGCTGCTGCCGCCGCTGCTGCTGCTGCTGCCGCCGCTGCTGCTGCTTGTCGAGCAGGTTCTGGATCAGCTGGTTGTAACCATGCTGGTCCACCACCAGTTAAAATTTGTTCTCTTAACCAAAGTAGACAAATAAAAGCACCCAGAGAACAAAAAACAACTAAACCACCTTGAAGTACATCCGTTAGTATATGGTCTGTGGAAACAATATCGTATGGTAATGTAAGAATTGATGATATTGATCCAGCAAAAAGACATCGATATATACGACTAGCTGTTATTGGTACCACACCGAGCCAACAAAAAGCCACAATTACATAATGAAGCCAATATCTTAAAGCTTTGAAAAAAGTACGTAATAGACCATTAATTAAATCTTTTAATGGTAAACGACCAGGAGGCATTGATGGATGATATATAGGTGTAAAGCGAAACTTTGTTCCACATAATTCACATTCATCTTTTCGTGATATTCTCAACCATTGTATTAAACTATTAATATAATTATTATAAATTATACATAGATATATATATATATATAAATTCGAAGTAAACTTACCAGTCATCGTGAACATATCGAATACTTCCGTGACATAAGCAGGGATAGAAAAGTGGTCGATCGAGTGCGCCTTCACATCGACATACACGACAAATGTCAACATCTGCCGCGTCGTTTTCAGTATTTACTTCATTTGCCATTATAAGTTTTCCATGTTAATAAAATAAGCATCTAAAAATAACACACAAACATATAATTTAAACAAAGAACCTATCACCAAATGCTTTGAAAATAAGCATGAAAGACTTAATCAACGAAACTACTGAGATTTAACTACAAAAAAAAACTAAATAAAAACTAAACATTTTCATTATTCATCCGACGTAAATCGGCTAACCAAACTAATCGATCTTTAGGATTTGTTTGAAAATATGATTGTTGTAAAGTTGAATATGTTTCAATCACTGGTATTACATTTCGATATGTACCATCTTGCCAACAATAATTAAAACGTTGTAAAACATCAACGATTAATGATTCATCACCATTTAATACATCGGGCGGTGATATACGAGGTAATAAAGGATATTGAAGTGTTTTAAAAATAAGAACTGATCTTAAAGCAAACCAACCACCATATTTTGGATGAAGACATACACCCATCATATTCTAAATAAAAGAAGTTTATATTTAAAAGAGAAAGATCAAATGAAATATATTTTGTATATACTTTATCTTTCGGAAATGGATCATTTTGAAGTTGTTGACGACTATAAAAACAAGCTGCACCTGAGACATGACCAACTGTTTGCATAATTATTTTTGCACGTCGTGTAGGCCAAAGATCATAATCAAAAAGAACATCAACTTCATCCTCTGGAAATCTCTATTATATATCAATTTGTAGAAACTTCATTTTATTACTAAAAGAGCGATTATATACTTCAATCACTGATTGCATTTTTTCTTTGACACAACAATCAATTGGATCACGAGTAAGATCTTTGCTTACATCGAGTGCATACGGTAAAAATATTTTTTCAAACATACTTGGTGTACTAATTATAAGAAAAGCAACTGTATCATCATCGTAATTTGATAGGCGAAATAGTGGATCAACCACAGAATTATACCACGAGATCTAAAGATATGTGTTTTCTTTTAAATACTATGGTTAATAGATGAGAGAATATTTACTAGGAAAGGATAAACTTCAAAGCCAGATTCCAGTAGATTATTTTGTAAGAGTTCATAAATTGTTTCAAAATCCATTGTTCCGAAAATAAAATTAGAAGAACGATTCTTGACGAGCAAGACAAGAGTAAAAACGACGACAACATCATAAAATTATATCTGATTGGATCAATCTAATGAAACTGAAACGGAATAGATGTAGATAGAAAGAGAGCCATCTGAGATATAGATGTCGCATTAATTAATCATTTGTATTTCCTCATAGTTTTTTTAAAAAAATATTAAATGTTAGTTTAGTCCTACGAACATTCATTGCATCTAAATTTCATATCAATTGATTTAATATTCTATAGTTTAATGAAATGATTGAAAATATGATTATTTGAGTTATATTTTTCGATTCTATTGTATATATGTTATGCAACAAACCATGCAATTCACATTTCCTGGTACTGATAATTATCTATTGTGAGAATGTTATGTAAGAACGGATACTTATGCAAATTAACATGTACATCAAACTTGGTATATATTGAACAGAGCGAAACATAACAAAATTTGTAAGGCTATGTCAACAATATTAATTTTTTATGTTGACGCATAAAAAGTTTCTTTTACATTTATCTTTGAAAATATATTTTTATAAGAAATTTCAAAAGTATTCATTAGCTCTCGTTCATTATAATCACTATTAAAACGAATAATCTAATAGTATTTCAGAAAGTTAAAGTTATCTTGAACAAAAAATAAACTCTCAACGTATCAAAATTTCAAAATAATAAAAGAGAATGGAATGTCATAGTTAGTTTAACCAGAAACATCAATTAAATAACTATTCTCTGAAAACTATTACAAATCTATTCCATATTCATATACGATTTGTTAGATTCACATTAATCTTTCTTGTATAGAACCAATAATCTATGTCATACTTCAATTATATTGTTAAAATATAGAGTTTCAGTTTATTTATTTTTCTTTTAATGAGCTATGCTTGATACCAGCGCCTCCTATCAGTATTATATGACTAATGGAGAGTACGTATCCACTTGTACTTTACGTTCGATTCAGGTAGATAAATGACAAGCGAGTAAATATGACATTTACTTTTTCATTTATTAAAAAACCTGCTAGCTTCACAAAATATTTGCAACGTCATCTTTCATCAAAGAAAATTGCAGTGATGGCATCTAATTCTTCGTACAATGTCTACATTCCGAATGATACTATTCCAACTGCACAGACGAAAATCAAATTGGCAGATCGTGTCTTAATATCTCCATTGGGTAAATAGGAAACTATATATTCTAAATTTGTTCTACAATATAGTTATATCATAGTTCTTGGTACTTGGGCATGGGGAGATAAAAAACAATGGGATTGGAATGATGCATTAGATGTACAAGCTAAAGAAGCATTTGACATGTCTATATCAAAAGGTATCAATACATTCGATACTGCTGAAATTTATGGAAATGGTGAAAGGTAAATGAACATGAATGTTAATGAATATAATAAGTAAAACTGTTGTTTTGTAGTGAACGTTGTATTGCTCGATATAAAGCAAATTATCCAACATCTGGAAGTGAAGATATCGTCATTGCTTCCAAATATCTTCCACTACCATACAAATTATCTTATCCAAGTTCATTGATCAATGCACTTCGAGCTAGTCTTGATAGATTAAAAGTATGATATAACTTTCAATCATAACAGATATTTTCAAGTATAGAACTTATATTGAGGATAATAGTTGTATAGTATTTATTTTCAAACACATAATGTAGCTTTGATACTTTATTAATCATTTGCAATATTTATTTATCAAAATAATTAGTGTTTCTTTTGTCATTGAAGCATATAATAAATATTAGTTAATAAATTTTCATCTGATATGTAATGATATTCGCAAGAATATTCACCTAGGAATAATAAAATGTAAACTAAATATAAATATACTCATAATATGCTTCTTATTACAGGTTGATTGCGTTGATCTTTATCAAATTCATGGTCCCATAAGCCTTCGTTCTATTGAAGTACTTGGTAATGCATTAGCTGAAGCAATTAAACTTGGTCTTACCAAGACTGTCGGTGTTTCCAATTATTCAATTGAAGATACAATTAAAATGTATGATTGTTTACAAAAACATGGCATTCAACTAGCATCAAATCAAGTCGAATATTCACTTCTTCGTCGTACACCAGAGACATCAGGACTCATTGCAGAATGTCATAAACGAGGTATTGCTGTTCTAGGATATTCTCCACTTGTAAGTTAATGAATATTATGATATAAAATTTAGTCTAATAGTAAACTGTATATTATTCTTTTGATGATTAGGCAATGGGTCGTCTAACAGGGAAGTATTCAATAGCAAATCCACCACCTAAAGGTCGTAATTTCTCTAATGTTAGTATGGAGGAATTAGAACCATTATTGGAATCAATGCGTGGTATTGCAGAGAAGCGACAAGTTAGTGTTTCTTCAATTGCTTTGAATTATGTTATTTGTAAAGGTATTGTATGATTTATTTTCTACTATATAGTTTAAGATAGGATTAATCATAAAATGACTCCCTTTCCATATCATAAATATTTCGTGTTCTTTTTAATGTATATACATATGTTAGTCTCTTCGAAAACAAATTAAACTCTGATTTCAAATTATAACAACTTTTTGTTATGGTTATGTGAAAATTGTAGTGCTTCCAGTGAGGATACAAAATGAATCAACAACTATATAGAAAAACAGGAAATTTTATGAGATTATTTCTATTTTGAGATATATTCTGATTGATTCATTTGTTAAGTTTTATTATTTATAATATCCGGATCATTATTTTTTGAAATTAATAGTCAAATAAAGTGACCATATATTTTTATAGACTAAACTAATACCGAAATCTGTTACACAAGATATGTCATCTGATTAGGAATCTATCCAGTATAAATGATGATGTATCTCTAAATCGCTTACATAACATTGTCGTGCATATCCTCATATAGTATACTCAAAAAAGATATTTTGAGTATCTAAAATACTCTAACTTTTTGTATCTTTTAGGTGTTATTCCACTTGGTGGTGCTCGTGATGGTAAACAAGCTGAGCAAAATGCTGGTGCTTTAGGATGGCGTTTAACAAATGAAGAAATCTTACAATTAGAGAGTCATCATGTCACTCCAAATCTGACATTTTTCAATCGAATGTGGCAACATGGTTAAAAATGTAATATTATTGATAATTAACTGGTATATACTAGACAATCGATCAACATGACTGAAGACTTTCTTTTATATTTTTTATATGAAAAAATAAACTAAATCTATTACTAATATGGTATCCTTATTAAACTCTTTTACATTTAATTAAAGACCGCCATCTATAATCAAATGTCTTAATACATGTCACTAAGTAACGTATAATGATTTAACAAATTGTTTCTCTTTGTGTTTGGAACGAATCAGTTGATGATATTTAAAACTCATTAATTTGTATCATTTCAGTTAATGAGACAGTGTATACTAACGATAGATCCAACTATAACTAGTGTTTATACATTTAAATGATTGAAATCTGTCAATAAGTATCACATTTATCAAATATTTACTCTATATGAATACATATAACTTATCACAGTCTTCTATGTAGATATTTTATTTTATTTCACGTGCTCTTATTAGTCGACTGATCGGTAAAAACAATCTATGTCAAAATACTGACAGTCTATTGATACGTTGCATTATTTTTAATGACGAATACTTGAGATTGATAACAGCTATATAATGTATTCATGATTCAGGTGATTATTTACTCTTTCAGACAGTAATAAAAATATGTTTACATCGGGATGCATAAATATTTTGTATCAAACTATATACGTGAATCAATCATTTGCTATAAATTGAATTTATACGAGCATTAGTAAATTATTTAATATACTCTACTAGTGATCAGCATTTTGGTAAACATAAGGACGAGTTTGACACATTTAATAGATTAATTATGCATAATGATAATACAAAAGCTGTTTATGGTGTTTTTTCAGATATGTCTAAACCTTCTTCATGTATTAATAATATTTTACCACCAGAAATTTTACAAAAGATTTTTCTTTTGTCGGCTGAATCCTTACATGATGCCTTACATATATCTACAACATGTCAACTTTGGCGAAAACTGATTTTTAATCCATTTTTTATCGAACACTATTGGATATTCGATGATAAACATCGTAAAAAAGGTCTAATTCGATGGTGGAATTTTAATGAAAATATACCCGATCAAAATAATCCATTTCGTAATTGTTCTATTACTAACTGTTTTCTTGGTAAATGTGCGAATTTCAGAGATGATTCTGAAATCACTGAAGAGGAAGTACCTAAAAATACCATTGATCGAGGTTCGGATTATACTATCGCATTTTGGCTGTTAATTCCTGAAATAGGTAATCATTCTTCATTTTTTTAACAATCTATTCCCAAAGAAATGCTTTTTATCATAAGTATCTTATTTATGCAATCATAAAGCTAGGAATATTTAGTAAAAAGTAATATTAATAAATTAGTTTATATGCTATTCGAAATTTTATGCAGGATGACAGTTGTTTTATGAAAAAGTTTAATAAAAAAATAGTTTTCGACTTGAACATTTTAGGTGATGAACCTCGTTGTATATTTATGGTACGCGATGATGATTGGGATTATACACGGTCAGCTGGAGTAGCTATAGATGAAACTAATTTTTTGTCGATCGTATTTGCATCAACTATTAGTGAGCGTATAATTCAATCTAATGTTCAAATGAAACCAGATCAATGGTATCATATTGTACTGGTACAAGAATGCATACCAGGTAAAATATTAGAGATAAAAAAATTACGGATTTTAGTTATTATTATCTCGCAGGTGATGAAAAACCTCAACAACATTTGTGGATTAATGGTAAACTTGAGTTAACAGAGAAAGTACCTATTGCTGCCTTTAGTAGTACTGCTGAGGTTTGTTTCTTCTTTAGCATTCTATGGAATCACTCTATAGCTGATGTATCTTACTGGTCTAGACGTTTATTACCATTAGAAATTCGAGCTATCTATGAACAAAAAACATCAATCGATAAAGTTAATATGGCTAAATATATTTTTGAACATTTAAATAGTTAAATGTACATTTTTAATAATTTTTATTTTTTTGTTAAACTTGATTTTTAATAAACCTTTTTATTTTGCAATCATAATATGATTAACTGAATAGATTCCTACTTTGTTTTTATAATCATCTTTTTTTCTAAAGCTAAATGAAAAATATGATTAAAATTGTTTTTTTTCCTGTTCATTAATGAACAAATATAATTTTTTTTCCGAAGATCATATCTTTGATCTACTGATTAACACAAAATCTTGTGTTTATAAAAACAAAACAAAAAAACATATCAAATATCAAGCTCAAAACTTTCCATATAATCAACAATCCGTTCAAATAATGTTACTAAACGATACTGTTTGCTATGAAGATCATTTGCCATCGCTAATCGTATACTAGTCTTATATCGATTGATAAATTCATTGTACAATTTAAATAAAGCATATGTTCTATTAAATTCATTTGGTCGTCTATTGAACGAAGTCTAAAAAAACATCGATGTTTTATATAAATAAATTGAACCTTTTAATTTTACTTGTTGTTCTTGTTCTCTTATTGATATCACATTACGATCAAGATCATTGATAGATACAGTAGGAAACGAAGAAATAGTAGCATAATACCTAGAGAAAATTTATTTAATAGAATATTGTTATAGGAAAATATTTTAAACTAACTTTTCTACAAGTGTTTTATATTTCTGTACATCACGATAAAATAAAAGTTTTGATGAGGGTGAATCTTTTGTTAATTGATGAGTACCAGCAGCACAACTATCCATAAACATTTGAGCAATAACTGATAATGATGCATCGATAACATTTGTTTTTTGAACATCAAATATAAAATCAGGATTTTTAATCATATTAACAAAAAATCTTAAAGGTAAACTAAATGAAAAACAAAAACAAATATTTTTTCTTTTTTATTTAATATTTAAAAACCTGTTGCTCTTCCAACTGTGAATAATATTTGAATCAAATATTTGATTATCTTCGGCTTGTTCATCAAGAAAATCAAATAAATATTTAATTGGTGATGGTAAATCAATAAGACAAAAAATAGTATCAAAAAATTTATCAATATATTGTTGTAATGAACCTTTTGTTGCTAATAAACGTGTTAAATAAACTTCTGAAACAAGTTTATTTGTTACTAATGTTCGATCATCATCTTCACGATCTGTTGGTTTAACCTAAATAATTAAAAAAATATAATTTTCTAAGAGACAAAAAAACAAATCTTATTTACTAGATGATAAAATCGTGTATTTGGTTCTAATCGAGAATTTAAAAATGATTGTTCGGATTGTATTGCATTCGATAATCGATGATCTTTTCGTACATTGATCACATCTTTTGTTGAATTTAATAATATTTGATTTTCTATATTTTAAAAATAAAGATATGACTAAACTTTATCAATGGTATTACCAGGTCCTTGAAGTAACTGCCAATTATGATCAGTATCAGTAGGTTTTATACAACATGAACTGTTTGTTGGATAACAACTTGTTAATCCATTAGTTATACTACCAGTACTTATTTTTGAACCTGATAATGATGATGTATTTGTATAGTTTGTACCCGGTTTTAAACTAAGAAATAATCGTGCACCATCATGAACCTATAATAAGTTTTTTTGTTAAATTTCTCATGTATTTTCTTAAATGATATTCATACTTTATAAGATGCTAATGTTTGAATTTGAATAAAACCATTTGAATCAGGATTATCAGTTTTATCATCATCACGAAGTAATTTCATATGTGATCCACTTCTCCATTCTATAAATAAAGAAGTAAATGTAATTCTCAACAGCAAGTTTGATTATGTATTAATATATACCTAAATCAAAATCTTCAATTAATGGACGTTTGGAAAAAGGAATATTCTTATAAAAATGATCGACAATCTTCTCTTTCACTTGTGTTATTGAATCACAACTAAGAACTTTAATTGCCACCGGTGTTGAAATATGATGAGATTTACCATCTTCAGTTTGAATAACATAAACAATCTAATTAAAATAAATAATTCTGATGTTATATTTTTTTTGATCGAAATTATTACCATTGATGAATAGTCAATATGTTGTCGGAGAAGTTTATCTTCACTTAATGAATATCGCGATTCACTTGTTAAACAATCAATTGGACCTTTTTGAATTTGTTGTTTTATTGATTGAAATAAAATGTACAATGGAGAACCAAGACGTTCCTTGAAAACAAAATAAAATAAAATATATTTTCTCTTAACATTTAAATTTTACTTTAATATAACCAAAAAGCAGAAAAGAAAACCAATTTGAAAGCATTTTTTCGGCTATAGATGCATTACTTCGCAATAAAATTTTACTATTATTTCGATCATGTTGTAAAGATTTTTCAATTAATTCTCTTAATAAAATTTTTAATATTCTAAATAAAAATAAATAGAATAAATGTTGTATTTTTTTCTCCTAAAAACATACTCAGTAAAATATTCAATATTATCTTGAAGAAGAATACTTATAAGGGATGCAAATTGCATACGATCTTGTAAACGAAAATTTATTTTATCTGCTTCCAATGTACGAATAATCAAAAGAAGAAAATGACGATTATATAATGATTGAGATAATAGATGAAGGCCTTGTCGAACACTATGTCGTCGATTAGTTTCAAGCTAGAAATAATAAAAATTTATATTTTATAAAAAGAAAAACAAATCGATATGAATTATATTGTCAAGTGAAAGTAAAGAGAAGGCATCATAAGTGCTTGCCATCAGATTTTTAATCATTAGCAAGAGTTGCGCGACCAGGGAGGGGGTGTAGGAGGTGGGACACCCCTCAATCTTCGACAATCTCTAGTTTTTGCTCAACAAAAATGGCAAATCTTCTTAGGATTTTTACCAAAGATAATGCTACACCCCCCAATGTTGGTTGACTCGCGCCACTCCTGATCATTAGTCTCCTTCATTTATAGAATTGATGATCTTATATAATAATATTCATACCGGTATCTCAATATTATGAAGCATCATATATTTTTCTTCTTCAGTAGCATTTGGAAATAAAACTTTCATACAAAATGTTCGATAATCATGATATGGTACACCTGATTGTGATAAATCATTTGTCATTTCTCCAATATCAGTTTGAAGTTCAGCAAAAGCTAGAATTACGAGAAAAATAAATTGATTATATTTAAAAATAATAAAATGTTTAAACCTTCTTTGCATTCACGTGCAACACGCATTTCAAGTGTATCAATTTGATTTTGTAAACGATTAAGTTGTCGAGTACGTTTTGTATTTATTCGTCGAAAAATAATGGATACAATTATAATAAACATTGTTAAAAACAGTCCACAAATACTCGCGATTATATAATATAATACTAATGAACGTTTTTCAATATTTGATGTATATGTTAATGTACCTAATGTATATACCCTACGGCCAAGTGTTACCTAAACGAATTTTTTTTTAAGATTAAATAATTGAATTTGTTTCATACTTACGCGTACAATCGCTTGTTCATTATCTTTCATATCCATATTTAATAAAATACGTTTTTTTCTTATTAATTTTTCAATAGTACGATTTGTTGGTTGACAAACAATTTGTTTATCAGATATTGATGTTATATTACATGGAAATGAACCAATTGTTATAAAATAATCATTTATTGTTGCAACATCAAGAAGATTTGAACCTTCTATTGTTAAATAATCATAACGATATTGTATACGTTTGCCATCATTATTAAATGGATAAATAATTGGATCAGGACAAAGTAAAAATACTTCATGATATGTTGATATATTACGAACATGTTCGACATCATCCATAAAAAAACCAAACTTAAATTCTAAACAATGATTTTTATCAAATACAGGAGTTATTGTTGATGGTGATGTTGTTGTGGTTGTTGTTGTTGCCATCGTTGTAGAATTTATAGAAGATAATGTTGTACTTACAGGCATAGTTTCATTTTCTGTCCATTTAAATGATGGTCCAGAACAAAACATACTTTCTGATGTTTTTACTGAGCAAGGCTAAAAATAAAAATATAAAATTAAACTAAAAAATAATAAGTAATTAACAAACTTCGATATATATTTGTTTTTGTTTAAATTCAAGAAAGAATTGTGGTGATTGAATCGAATCAAAATTAGTACCATGAACAATAAATGGTAAACCACCACTTTGAATACCAGTATATCGACTTAAATTATATACATGTGGATCCTATAAATACAAATGAGAAATGTTTGAATCGATAAGTATTTCTTACTTCTGTGTATGAATAAGTAATATTCGAATAAGTTTCAGTAAAATTATCAATTAAGATTGTAATTGTACCCATCCATAGTGCATGTCGTTTAACAAATCTTTGTTGTCGATTTTCAATATCTTCATTGGTATCTGTTAATTTCGAAGTTCGACATTGAATCATATCTTCTGCATTTTCATTCTCTGAATCCAAATGTGATATTGGTGGATTTATTAAATGATTATTTTCATCATCTGATATTGTACTACTAATAATTGTTTCTTCATTTTCAATAAGTAAACATTGTTGATGACCAACAAATATATTTATTTTACTTCCAATTGTTAAATGTTTTCCTTTTATTGATATTAATGTACCACCAGATCGAGGTCCTACATTTGGATGAATATGATTTATAATTGGTTTCTATTAAATAAATCAATAAGAAAATATTTTTTTCTTTATATTTCTATTTACCACAATTTGAAAAACAGGTCGATCTTTACTAACAACTGAATGAACAGTAACTTGAATTGTATATATTCCAATTGGTAAAGATGGTGGTTGACATAAAAATGATTGTGAGATAATATATGTTTCAAGTTGAATATCACAAGAATATTCCGTTTGATTTGAATGTATAAGAACAATGGATATATCATGTGGCTTTTTACCTAAACTTGAACCATATATTTGAATAGGTGTTCGTCCATATTCTGGACCTATTTTAGGATATATATGTTTCAGACGTGGATCAGGACATATACCCATTGATGAACTAATTATATGATTTGATTCACATATTGAAGAATTTATTTCATGTCGACATGATTTATCTGTTTCACACCATATACAATGATAATCATCTTGTAATAATATGCATGAACCACATGAATCAGCAAGATATTTACATTTATATATATTTACTATATTAATAATAAAAAAAGATTTAAACGAATGAAATAATTTCAAATATGAATTACCTGTAAAATTTGTTAGAGTTTCTAATTTTTTATATGTACATTCATTTTCACATTCGGACCATTGAATTTCAAATAATAAACTTTGTTGACCAATATCTTTATCATAAAAAATCTATGATGGAAAAATAATTTTTTATTCAAAAATATTAATTTATATAGCAAATTCTTACTTGAAATGAATCACAAATAAGTAAATCATTTTTAATTTTTCCAACAGTTGAAATTATACTACCATTTATTAATGTTAATATACAACGAAAATATTTTTGAATATCATATTTTAATTTAATTATTTGAATTATAACTCGATCTTTTTCACCCAAAATAAATGAATTTCCATCAGCAATAAATATTTCTTTCATTGACACATTATATCGAGGACATTGATCAATGGAAGTATTACTTATTATTGTTTCATTTTTTTCAATATTCAAATCATTATCAGTACATGTCGATGTTAATAAATTCCATGTACAATTATATGAATTATTCATACATGTTGTACAACTAAAATATTATATCTTATTTATACAAAACAAAACTATATATAAAACTATTTACGTTAAATATGATGAACAATCATAAAATGTAACATTTTTTTCTGTTAAAACAATATCATTATAAAATAAATGTAGAATAAGTGAATCTAAATTGAAAATAACAATCGTAGGCAATAATAGTTATAATAAATTGGTAGTATGATTTAAGATTAAATAATACCTCCTTCAAATTAATCTCTTGTTACATTTAGATGGCTTTTTCAACTTTAACATACACTTAGGACAAAAATATTTGAAATGAGAATAAAGAAATTACGTATATTTATAAGCAGTTCTACTTCAGACATTTCTATAGATGCATCCTATCTGATGAAAATGTTGAGATATATCTAAGATAATCTTATCTCTAATAACAAGTAACAATATATCTATCCAAATGAGACAGTTCTCGAATTTTAATAATGATGAAAATATACTATGTTCTCGTTTACTATCAATGCAAAACTATTTACAATACCATGATTAATAGTAGCTAGTGTTTGAGGTGGAGGTGAATAACATTCAATATAATTTTCATATTTAATTGCATTTGATATATAAATTGGTTTATCGTTATCATTTTCTTCTGTTTCAATTAAAAGTGAAGATAAACCAAATGAACATGAATATTTCGAAGTTGGATCATCAGGTACACTATCAACTTTTAAATGTAACTAAAATATTGAAAAATTTAGGAAAAATGGGATCAATAAAAGAAAAATCTTGTTACTTTGCTAGATTTAGCATGTGAAATAAAAGCTGGTGTAATTTCAAGTATATTTGGACAACGATCACGTATTTGTAACCAACTAAAACGTCGTATATCATCTATTTCATTTGTACGTATCGTACAACTTTTTAAATAAGACAAAAATATATCGATGAAATATTTTAAATGAAAAAAAAACAGTTTACCGATTCAATGTTGTACCCCATCCACAATATGGATTTTGTGTTGAAAGACATGAAAAACATGTTTTATGTCGATCGCAATCATGAAGATCAACTTGAAAGAGCTATGAAAATAATTGAAATGTAAATAAACAGAATAGATAATGGAAACAAGATAGCGAGAGAATAGAGAACGATACTCAATTACTCACTCAATTACCCGAGTTTTAGTTGCACCATAAAGAAATCGATTAGTCGTATCTAATACCATATCACGAAGAATCGATTGACCAAAATCAACAAACATTTCTTCAAATTGAAATGCTTTCTTTTTCGTTGGTTGTATACTGATCTAATAAATTTATATTTCAATATAAACAAAAAAAGAATAAACTATGTGAATTACCTTTTTTATTTTACCATCAGCTGTACCAGTTAAAACTATAATATAATTATTAATTACCGTTGCTTCTAACGATGTTAATTGATCAGATGGAAAAGTAATTAATGGTTGTGAAATAATATTTGATGATCCCTCAAAAATCATTAGATAACTTGCATCACGCGTTGTTGAACATCGAGCTAAATTTCCATATGGTGTTGGATATTGTGGCTAAAAATTAATTAGATAAATCAATATTTATTTGTTGTTTTTTAGTTAATTAAATCATTAAAATTTTTATCTTACAATAACTGATTCACCATGTAACCATGCCATACCAAGTGAAACATTGCCTTTTGCTAAATCAAGTACATTATCAATAAATGCATTTCTTATTTGATCAAAATCATATAAACATATTGCGGAATAACTATTTATTGATGGTTCAAGACTATTTAACGTTTTAGGTTTCGATGCTATTGTTAATAGATATTGTTTTTGATTTTTAAATTTAATTAATTTAACTTTTTGTATAAGTGTATAATCATTTCCACAATTTATTTGTAATTCAACATAATGTCGAAATGATATTTGCCCTTCACATAAACGTACAACTTTACTAACATGTTGTTGATTAGTAAATACATAGATAGCTGAATCTTTTTCATCATAAATAATATCTTGAAAAAGTCGAAATTTATCCGATGATTCACGTTCAAAAAAATCTGTATAGATTGATCGTACAACTGATAATTGTTCAGGACAATAATCATTGATATTTAGAAATGGATTCTGTACATGTATCAAGTTAATTGATGATGATGAATTGTTATTTTTATTAATATTATTAGTATTCAGATTTGTTACGTGATCAGAAGAAATCATAGAAACGGTCGATGATGATGACTGAGAAATACTTACACTCGATATTAAATTTGATATATTACTTGTTGAAGATGACCTTGTTGTATTGATGAAGTTCGTAATAGTAACAGCTTGTCGTTTCATAATCGAATCTTTGACAATGGTGACATTTTGTGATGGTATGTTCATTGTAGTCATAGATTTGTTTACATAGCGTTGAGAGTTTTTAATGCCATCATCATCATCATATACAAATGCTCGTAAAGCGATTGTACGCCCTTGTGATTGTTCAAGACATTGAAGATAAACGAGATCAGTTAAATTATCAGCTTTCTCTTTATTATTTGAAACGATGAAATTTTTTCTTAATGTTGATGTTAAAAATAAATAAATAGGTGTATTATTACATTTATTTAATTTAAAATGAAATGGAAATATATGATTTGGTATTGTTGAATCAGTATTAAATAAAACTTTTTGTGCTTGATTTTTTTCATTTGTTAATAATTTTTGATAATAAATATGCGATAAATTTAATGCATTACGAATAATACATGAACCTTGTTGTAAAGACCAACAATCAATTAAATATGGTTTATTATCAATCTTATTATTTTGTTCAAGATAAAGAATTAAATTATAATTATTTTCATCGATATGATTTTGTAAATCTAATGATTTTGAACGACGATTTCTATCTGTTATTGAATTATCATTATTATTACTTGTATTTACTAAATTATTTAAACATTGACATGGATTTATTTTACATATATCATCATTATTTAAATAAGTTTTTTGTATTGATACATTTTGTATTAGTGTTAAATTATCATCATAAATTGAAAGTGAATCAATTGTCGCAACATAAAGCCATTTTAATGAAGAATAATAAGTTAAATGATTTATATTATTAGATAACGAAAGATGACGAATATAAGATGTTTGAATGATATTTATTTGAATGAAAAGAATACATAAGAATAGCGTACATTGTCGATAAACTATCAACATTATCTAATGAACATATTCAGATGAAAATCTGAAAAGAAATATTCTTTTAATCGAATAAATATAATTTAAACCTATTTCTTTTCTTGTCATTTTTTTGAATAAAATGACGATTGTGTAAGTGTATTGGTGTATATGCAAATTGTTCATCGGTCAGCTTACGGAATGATTGAATAAACATACTGAAACTTCGTTCTTCTCTATTTTACTCCACCCACTTGTCAAAGCATACTACCCATTACAAAACGTATTTTTTTTTGTTCACAGACATACAAGCACGTACAAAGCGCAATACGAAAAATTCCATGAGATGATGTAATTGCTTAAGAGAAAAGGAAGATCTGACGAAAAAGAAATGCTCTCATTAGGAAGTGCTGCTTGTATTTGTCATCACTGCCGTCATTCTACAACATTATCGATTACCTGTCTTAGAAGCTTGATGTAGATATATATATATATAAATGCACACAAGTGATAGATAAAAGAAGAAGACGAAGGGGAGAGAAGAAGAGACACACACACATGTATACTCACAGAATATTGTTTCGCTTCTCTATTTGCTTATACAATAAATGAGGGAAGAACTAAAGCAGAGACAGATCGTTTCTGATATCTGTATATGGAATAAAGAAAAAAGATATGAAGCAAATGATCAATCCACACATTTCCTTATAATATCAGACCATGATCAGTTAGGTTAATTCGCTCTTTCTTTCTCATAATTCAGAATAACGTCAGTCATCCAATGTCGGGTCGGTCAACATACATACATACATACATCTATCACAGACGATATTTCGATTAGTCAGGACAAGTTTAGCTTTGACAGACATGCAGCAGTCACTCGTTGCTTGTAATACAACTAAGAACATAGAAGAAGGAGAGAAACGAGTGAATGAGTGAGTAAGTGAAAGAAAGAACAAACATATCAACGAGAACGTGTATGTGTGTATGTTTGTATATATATATATATATATATATATTGCACGAGTCGGTGCTTCTGTACTAATTGGAATGTCAAAAAATGGAACAAGATGATAGTTAATTTTCCTTTTCCCTAAAGATACAAAAAAATGTAGATGTAGATATAGATAAAAAATGAGCTGTTCATTTTTGCAGACCAATATATCTCGCTATCAAGACGAAATAAAACATTTTCACTCTTGTCGGTGTAATATAATCTTATTAGTTTTCTTTTCTCGCTCGCTCTCTCAAGAGATTAAACGATCTCAATATAAAGTTATGAATACGTGTCTGCCTGTATATCTTAACCGTTATTCTGTTATCGGATCAAAAATAATATGTTGAACTACTATTCTTATTCTTTAATATTGTCGTTATTGTTAATTCTATTGTATGTCATGCTGTCGACTACTGTCCATCTTTATATAAAGTCAAGAGCATCAAAAAAAAGTAAAAACAACATATAGACATACGGGTAGTTCATTTATTCAACCGTTGTTAGAAAAACGATTGAGGTTGCGTACATGCCATCGCTGGGCTTCTTTCTGACCGACTGCTTGAGCGTTTGTCCGTCTACATCTTTATATATATATATATATATACATATCAGATGAAGGACATCAAATATTATTGTTGTGTTCGTTCAAGCTGATAAGTCTTTCTCCTTCTCTTTGCTTTCTTATATTAATCAACCTAAAAGAACAAGTAAATAGTTGAACGAATAAAGTCATGGACATCGCTGTTGTTCAAACGATAATCGAGGACAGGACCTTTGAGATTTGATATTCAACAAAACCGATATTAATATCCCATTATATAAGTGATACAAACTTTTTTTTCCTCTCTTAATGTCATCTTTTCTTGTCTTTTTTTTTACTTTTCTTTCTTTTTATCCTATATTTAACTAGTAGACAGACACAATGTCAGTAAATTCCGATTATCAGGCTGATAAAAGCAAGACATAGATAGGCACAGTGAAACTACTCATTGATAATTTCTTGCTCTAAGAAAAAGAAAAGATGTAAATATAAACTATAAAGTAATACGATTAACTATTTGTTATCTCAAGTTCTTGTCAAGGAAAATTGAGATGTCAAGTCTAAAGTTCAAATTGTGTTAATAAACGTAAACAAAATAAATAAACTATACGCAAATATCTATGTAAGCAACACCCTTAAGTCATTTCGAAAATCAATGACACATTACCAACATACCCAATGAACCTTAACTGTGAATATTTTAAATAGATAAACAAAAATGTATACAAAAATTAATATAAGAATGTTGTTGATCAATGCCACTAAGTTTATCTTCACGAACAATAACAACAATAACAAGGAAGCGCATAAAGACAAAATACCTTGAGGCATTATCTATTTTCTCAAATGAAACATATAGATTGAATCATCATCAGTCTACAAATCACATCTTGTCATCATTCATCATTAGAGATTATAGAATGAAAAGTGTGAATATAATTTTTTTTTTCTTCTATTTTATCCATGCGCGGTATAATCTTGACTAATGAATATCATTTGACAACAAATCACCTTTACAATGTATAGGTTGTCATCATAGAGAAAGAGAAAGAGAAAGAGAGAGAATTTGGAATGTTCAATACGAAAAGAAAAAATTAGACACGCACATGATATTTGTCACAATCTCACAGCTTGTCATTGATTATGTAATCTCAGCACTTCGTTTATATATAGATAAATAGAACTAAATATTATTTCATAACATATAGATATATATTTTTTTTGTGTCTTTATTCTAAACATTGAAACTTATTTTTGATATAATGTTACGTTTAATCTTTATTTATTTCTTATTAAATCAAATTCATCTATCTCTATGTCAAAGTCGTCAACGACATAATTATCAAATTGAATGGAATTCTTCAAATACATTTTTTCAATCGAAATTATCTGTTCTTAATGTACGTCTTGGTGATACAGTCGATTTTATATGTCCACATTATAATCGTTCATCATCTATGGAATATAATACATTATATTTAGTATCAGAAATTGATTATAATCTATGTTTTACTGAAAATTATCAACCACTTTTTCGTTGTGATCAACCATATAGTTCGAAACCATTAATATATACATTATCAATTTCAAAATATCTGCCATATCCGAATTTACCGGAATTTTTTGATGGTCATTCTTATTATTTTATTTCAACATCGAATGGACAACAGACAGGTATTAATCAAAAATTCGATGGATTATGTCGTACAAAAAATTTTCGACTTATTGTTGATGTACAAAAATATTATCGACGTTATTCAAAAATTGACAATAGTCAATATCGTAATAAAATACAAAAACAATTATCAAATCCAACAAATAAAAAATTGATTTCTTCAAATAATACAAGACTGTCATCTTCAATGATTTTCTTGTTATTATCTAGTCTATTTTTATATTTGTGTTCTTGAATAGAATAAGTGAGAAATTGTATATTCCGGTAATTATTTAAATATGTCTTTCTTGTCTATGTTTTTCACGTTTCCATGCTTCTAAAATAAATTCATTCATTAAAATTGATCGAATATCATTTAATTCAATTTCAAGACCAGTCATTTCCTTGAAAAAACAATAGTATAAATATCTATCGAAAATATATATATATGAATTACTTTAAAATCTTTAAATCGTGTAGTATGTTCTTCAGTAAATTCATTTTTATTTTCAATAAAAAAATCATAATACATAATAATACTTAAAACAGTTAAGATAAATATTAAAAAAGAAATAAATATTCCTAAAATTTCAGATAAAAACTTGAAAGTTTCGATTTGTATCAATTAATAAATTGCAGACGAGAATATTCATACTCTTAGTTTTTGATTTTTACCAACATCCTTCCGAGAAATTATTACACATGACACAAATTATATTTTTAATTTATATTCACAGGTAGTTAAACATAAATTTTTAGTGGCATATTCTCTTATGAAATTGACACTTTATACATAAACCGAGAGCAAAGATCTATTTTTCTTTACACGTAAGTTTTTTTAAAAAAATAAATGTTCAAAGTACCTATAAGCATCCAAAATTGTAATGCAGATAGATCTTGATCATCGAAATATTCAACTGATGATAATTGAACTAATTGATTTATACGAGATGAATTGAACATACGAAATTATGAACATTTAAGATATAATTTTTTTCGGCGCTATTATTCAATTAATCAATTTGTTCATATCTGATTTTATACGATATTGTATATAAGCATAGTTAAATTTACAAAGTGCAAATAATAGAAAACAATGAAATAAGATGTAAATATATTAATGGAACTAGAAACTACAAAGGAATGTTTAGAGTTAAAAAAAATTTACTTAAGTAACTAACAAGAGAATGTGGAATCATTTTAAAATTTAAAATACACTAAATTTTGGAATCCATATATAAATTATTATTAACAAAGATTATAATAATATCCATCACATTTGTATTCGTATGTCCAATTTTAAGAAGATTTATACCATCATTTGTTTCATTTAAATATGTATATGCATCATGTTTATCGAGTGCTTTACGAGCTTTTTGAATATCACTTTCATCAATAATCATTCCATTAAAAGCAAAAGCACCAGCAGCATCGGTTGGTCCATCGATTCCATCTGAACCAGCTGCTAATAATAATATAGATGTATTGTTATTACTATTATCAATAGTCAATGCTGCAGATAATGCAAGTTCTTGACATCGTCCACCTTTTCCACAATCATTTTTCATGACTACTGTAGTTTCACCACCTAATAAAAGATAATATTGTTTGTTTTGTTTAATAAATTTTTGAAAAGCATCGAATGTTGATTTATCAGAAAATAAACAACTAATATTATCATTGTATACTAATTCAGATGGGTTTGTTGTAACAAGGTCAACTAGGTGACGACCAATTTCGCGTGCTTCACCTTGTAAACAAGTCGTTGCAATAAATGGAACGCAGGTGAGAGAGTTCTGACATAAATGAGCAGCTGCATCCAATGCAATATGATTACTACCCACGATAACATTATGAATTTGTTTAGTTGAACTTCTTCAAAAAATAATTAATTGTTTAATATAATTTTTATGATAAACTTACTTTGTGACATTATCGTTTGTACTTTCATTTTCTTTTAAATGTTGAAGAAATTGAGTGGGAATATAATGTATAAGATCATATTTATTGAAAATATCTAATGTTTGCTGATTTTTATTACCACTGTAAAATGTTGGTCCAGATGCAATAAATTCCAATGGATCTCCAATAACATCAGAAAGAATTAATGAAATAATCTTTATTTGACCAACAAAAAAAACAATGAATGAAATATAAAATGAAAATAAAAGATCTATTTACAGTAGTTGATTTAGCAAATCGAGCAAGTCCACCATTTTTAAGTTGACTCATCGATTGTCGAACTGTATTAAGTTCTTGAATATTTGCTCCTTTACTTTGTAATAATTTTATTATTTGACATTTTTCTTCTAATGAAAGAGCATCAATAGGTAATGGTAATAATGCTGATCCACCACCTAAATGAATCATTTCTTAAATTTTAACGAATATTTTTCATAGACAAAAAAAAAGAGCAATAGAACTCAGATTGTTTACATAAGTTGAACTAACGACATTGAAGTACATATCTGACTCATTTTCTGAAGAAAAAAGAAGATCAAATGTGTTTTAAATCACGCATTACATATCCAATTATCTAATACACGCACATACACCTCCACAACAAACTTAACAAAACAAGAAATTTAAATAAGGTTAACAGATATCTCATGCAATGTAATTTACTCAAATCTTCATTAATGTCGTTTATATATTGCATGATAACTATTATGAAGAAGAAGAAGAAAAAAAGAATGACGAAAGAAAGAAAAAAAAAAGAAATAAAATCTACTAGACATTATATATAAAATAAAACATATAAATAGATATTATTTCGACGCTTTTCTTTTGTCACATTACTAAACACTGTTTTATCTGTTTATACGTCATGGGCTCTTTCATCCAATTCGTAGGCATTACTGGTAAAACTTATTCATAACTGTTTGTTTCTTAATTGTAGTTTCTTTCATTGAAGGTTTACTACTTGTATGTTTTGTTATTTTTACTGAACAAGCATCAATATCATCACCATTTTTGGATGAACAATTAAATTTGGACAAACGTCGTAGTGATCCAATTGCACGTACATCTATTCCTCTTTTTCGAGGATCAAATTTAGGTATTTTTGTACGTAAACGTCCTTATGGTTTCTCCTCTGAACACTCAATGTATCGTCGAAAAGAAGCTCGATCAGTACTTAATAATGATGACAGTATTTTGGCTGAACTATTATATAACAATGAACATCCTCAACGACGTTTTGACGACTATTCTGAAAATCCAGGACCTATGTTTGGCCGATAAAATCTTTTTTGTGCACAAGTAAAAAAATTTTGAAAATAATAATAAAAATTAATAAATCGTTTTTTTTGTCTTGTGTACAATACTCTACCTGAAATGAGAACTAATAAAATATCATCAGCACACATTGTAGTTGAAATCATTGTTTGAATACGTTGAGCAGTTTGCATAGCTGCTTCATCAGGCAAATTATTTTGAGCACCTTCATAAACATCAAATGAACATTTCCACGAAGGATAAATATCATCTCTAAAAACAAATCAATTGAAATCAATATATATATATGAATAAATCAAAATCATTCCTTTTTGCTTGTTCAATAGCACCAACAGGTACACTAGCAATACCCTTAATAATATGTTCATGGCAAAGTTCATTTACAGCTCGACACATGCCTTGTAACAAATATAAAACATATTATTAAGTTTTTTCTTTAACAACTAATCGTCTATCTATTTATACCCAAAGCAGCTTTTCCAAATGCTGCTACATAGAGATTATGGTTGAGTGCAACATAATTATCTTCAATATATAATCCGGTTTTTTCATCATTTAAATGGTTATTATTAAAAGCAAGATGATTTTTAACACATATATATGGATCAACAGCACCAATAGCCGCTCGAAATAATTTTAGTATATCTGATTTCATTTTTATCATTTTTTTTTTCTTTTTTTTAAATATTTCTGAAATACACACAAACATTTACACTGTTTTAGAAGAAAGAAAAAAAGAGTAAAGCGAAAAATAAAATAAAAACAAAAAATAGATCATTTTTTTAAATATTTAGAATTGATTAGCATTTGCAAGCACTTCAGGTTTAATATAAATGTCAGCTGGAAAATTAGGTGTTTGCTTTTGAACATCACGTAAAGCTTCTTCATCCCATCGAAATGAAAGTAAAGCAGCTGGTACAAGGCCACATTGATTAAATGTTGAAGAATGTTCCTCTTGACTTGCATAAGCTTGTCGACCAACATTAGATATCAATGAAAATGGTAACCAGTCATGTACAAGACAATATGAACGTAAATAATCAAATAATAATGAAAGAGGATCATGAGATTGAAAAATAACTTGAAGTATCATTTCATTAGGCATCCGTATACGTATAACGGTATATTTATATTGTACATTTGATTCAGCTTTTTCATCACGTTCACGCATTGCTTTTGTTCGTAACATTTGTTCTTTATCAAGAATATCTTTTTGTCGTTGTTTTTCACGTAATACATCTCCAACTGTAGTTTGATAAAATAATGGATCTTGTGGTAAAAGTTGTACAGGTGGAATTGCTGGACGTTCTTTTGTTGGTCGAAATATTTTTAAATTTCTATCAAGTTGAACTTGTATAGGTTCACCATTTAAAAGTGTATCTCGTGCTAATTGTAAAGGTTCAATCGAACGTTCTTGATAAATAATTGATTCACTATCATCAGATGGTAAAAATCCACTAGCTTGAAGTAATTCAAAAGCATATTTTAATGAAGCAACTTTCTATAGAAAAATCAAATTAAATTTATTAAAAATAATACATATATATAAATAATTTACTTCAAGATAAACTTTATTTTGCAATTTAATTCGACGATATTTATCTTCATCAGGATTAGTAATGATATTATCGAAATATTTACAAATAATTTCTTTACAGGCTTTTAATTTTTCTTGTTCTTTTTGATTACATGTTATGAAGAGAAGTGTTGCCGAAACAATAGGTTCAGAATCAAGTTGTAAACGAAGTGTTTCTTCAATTTGTTGCTGTAATTCATTATAAGGTAAACTAACATCATCACCAAATATATCAGGACATTTAAAAAGAAAATTTGTATGATCAATTACAGGAGAACTTTCAACACTAATCTAAAATGTAGATTATTGAATAAAATGATTTGTTCAAATAATAACCAAATGAAATGTACTTGTCGATTGCCAAAATAATGATCTTTTAAATCAAGAGCTTGTTGAAGTTGATTATCAAGTGCTTTTTCTTGTTCAAGTTCACGTTGTGCTTGACGACGAATACTATCCGCTGTACGACTACCTAAAAGATTTCATTTAATTTATGAAAAACTGCTTCTAGAAATAAATGTCTATATTCTTACTTGGAGCGGCAGATTGTTGCCAAGATGTTTGTTGTTGTAAACGTTGCTGTGCTGCTTCTGCAGCAGCTCGAGCTGCTACTCCACCATCAGAACTTTGTCGTGTAGCAGTTGGTGGACGTGGTTGTACTGGTACATTTCTAGATGTTGGCTCATTTAATCGATGTCCCTCACCAGCTTTAGCGAATTTAACTTCGCCTTTCATTTTCGAAAAGAATTTCTTAATATTAGACATATCTAGAAGAAGAAATAAGAGACATTTTTTGTTTTTTTGAGAAGTATTTCAATTGCTCGATCTTCCTCATCATTTTTTTTTATTGAGAAGAATGAATGAATGCAATTTCTAAAACAAACAAGCCAAAAAAAAAGTGTACGAGAGATAAAGAATCTAATATAAAGATTGACGACGTATACCATTTCAGAGAATAGAATATGTAGTAATAAACTAGAAGAGAATAATATATCATCGTCGATGTGGCTGACTGACTGGCTGATCATGTCACATTTATGTACAAAACAACATACATACAGACATAGACAAATAGACAAAAAAAACAAGATATAGTTCATATACAAAAAAAAAGAGGGATGCTTTGTATAATATATATATATATTTAATGTTGTCTTCAATACTGTGGTTGAATTTCTGTAATTGTAACAGCCACAGCTGGAATTGCAAATGGTTGATGTGAACGAATTTTTGCATGTGTTAAAAGATGTTGTTTAAGATTTGTTGATTGTGCAAAACGCCGACTACAACCATCAAATGGACAAACATAAGGTTTATCCCCTGTGTGTATACGAACATGTGTACGTAAATTAAAATCAAGTGAAAAACGTTTTCCACATCCTTCAAATGGACATTGAAATGCTTTTTCACCTGTATGTACTAATTGATGACGACGTAATTTTGAACTTTCAACAAATGATTTTTGACATTCATGACATACATGTACACCTAAAGAGAAAATATTTTCGGTTTTTATTTTAATTATGAAAATAAAATATTTACGTGGTCCATGTGTATGTAAATGTTTATTCATTGATGCAGTATCACGAAACATTTTTGTACACCCAGATTGTGGACAACGTATAGTTTTAGGTTGATCATCAGTTGGTAAATGTGTACGTCGTTTACGATGTGGTTTAACGAGATTTTGAACATAATCTGGATTAGAATAATCTGGTGGAACAATTAATGATGGATCACCATCGAGTGAATCAACAATACTACTTAAATTATTATTTGTATCATTTCCAACACCTAAATCATCAAGATCTTCATTATCTGATGAATCATCATCATCATCGTCATCATCATCATCTGTATCACTTTTATCTAAAATTTCTTGTTTCTTTTTATTATTATTATTATTTGTTGTTGTTGAACGACGCGTTGTGGAAGATTTTTTTCGATTCGCATTTTTTGTTAATTGTCGATTTGTTCGTCCTTGTGATGCTGTATTAATTAAATCATCCATATCTGATAATTGATTATTTCCATTATCACTATCCATTGATTCATCATCAGATCCACTTTCATCATTAGAATCTGTATCTGAATCATCTCCAGTTGGATCATGATGTAATGGATTAACACCTGCTTGACGAAGTGCTTGTAATATAGCTGCTTGATCATATGATGCTGTTGTTGCATTATTATTAATTGATTTATTATCTCTACTAGTACTACCCATAATAACTATATTACCAGTTGTTCCAAGATTCAATTTCGCTGAACTATTGCTTGTTATTGGAAGTTGATTTGTTGTTGAATTAGAAAGAATTGATTGAGAATTTTGTTGTGATAAAGTTTTTATAGAACGTTTTGAACGCAAACCAATATCGTCTATAAAATAAATCAGCAAATATATAGAAGAAGAAATTAATAAAATGTATGATGTTTCTGAAAGCCTATCACTAGCAAATGCCAATACTATTGCAATAATCTCTACTTTATTAACTAACCAGAAAGTTGTTGTTCTTCATTTTTAAGTTTTTTATTTGATTTTGCTCCTGTAGTTGAACGACGTTGTTGTTTTTGACTAATATCCTCTGTTGATTCCGAAAGAATATCATTCAAATCATTATTATTATTCATTGATGATGATAGAGATTTCGTCGGTGACAGAATTTCTTGTTTTGGTTTTCGTCCTCGTCGTTTAGGTTCAGGTTTTTGTATTGATGATGAAGATGTTGTTATAACAACAGCTGTTGATTTTGGTCGTCGTCCACGTTTAACTGGTACAGTTGTTGACCACATTGGATCATCTTGAAAATGATGTGTTTGATGATTAAGTGATATAATATTTCCATGTCCAAGTGTTGTTGTTGTACCATGACCTCCGCCGGTTGCTTCATCGATTTCATAAACACCTGATTCAACAAATGGAATTTCTTCATCCAAAAAAACCGGATTATCCATTCGACAAAATCAGTACATTATTTATTCAAATTTTTTTGAAGGAGCAACGGCGGTGGTACCTATCGAATTTGTCGGTATTATATTCAATGAATTATGCGATCGTGATCGACCGTGTAATTCAGAATTTGATACTAGAAAAGAATGAAAATATTTTTTTTGGAAATTAAATATATAAAAAAGTTTTCTTTTTTCATATTTTGTATCGGGTCAAATTTTCGGAATCATCATTGATACGGTTATTCCAAAATGGTATCCGATGGGTTTAATTTTACGAGAACTACGACTCTACATAATTCATTTAAATAATAATGCAGAAACACGATCTCGATCCCAAGAACAATCATTCTCACATACATAAAACGATTCGTTTAAAATTGCTTACTTGTTTTAGATAATTGTTGACTAATACTATAACCGTACCGATACCAAGCAAGAATAAGTATAATAAAAGTAAATGATAACCAAAGAATTAAATAACAGGTAAGACGAAATTCAAAATCGAACTCTATTTTGATAGATTTTATCTAAAATAAATATTTACATAATAAATGAAAAGTTGCTTTTCCTTTCTCAAGGTAAATCAATTTGTATATTTTTTTTTGAAAAGACACATACGAATAACACACATACAAAGAAATAAACAAATGTTAAAGATACATATACAGATGATAGTGTGATTTTTGTTTTCTTCTGTATTTAATTTATTAAATAAATTTATTCCATCGGTATATTTGATTGTTCTTTATTATTATTAGTATCACCTTCTTTCATACTTCGTTGAATATTTTCAAGAATACGTGTTGTTTCTTCATCATCGTGATCATTATTATCATTAATATGACTTGATGAAACATCATTATTAGGTTTATCGTTACGTTGAATATCATCATTACCATTTTGTTTCGAATTCGATGGTGAATGTACAGGTGATTTTGAATTATGTCGATGACGATGATGTCGAGATGATGATGTTCGAGAATGAGAACGAGAACGTGAACGACGATGACGACGAGATGAATTAGAACTAAATTAAAGAAATATATATATATAAATATGACAAAAGACTTCTATCAACTTATACTCTATTTATAAATATTTAGCAGATAATAAAATTTTGTTTAAAAATATCTGATGATTTTTAGTATATATCCTCAAAGTTCAAGATATTGAGACTTACCGTGAGCGAGAACGTTTACTATGTCTTCGACTATGTGAAGGCGAAGGTGATGAACGATGACTATGCGAATATTTTGATGAACGACGATCTGATCTGAAAACAAGATAGGCAAAACTAAAGTTTACAATTTTTGTAAAAAGTTCTTTTACCTTGCTGGTGATCTTCGTGGTTCCTTATCTCTACTCGAAACTTTTTTTGATCGACTACCACTTCGACTGCGATATGATGAACGATAATTATTTCTATCTCTATCATTGTCTCTTCGATTATTTCTTGATGATGATGATGACGATGGTACAGGTGAACTAAACAATAAATTTATAGGTGTTTTTTTTTCATTGTTATTGTTTTACTTTCGACGATTTTTTCTATCAAGTTCATGTTTTTCATTTAATTCAGTAACACGTTTTTTTAAATCAGCTAATTTCTCACGTATTTGTATAAAACCCAAATGTAATTTTCCACCAAAATGATCAGCTAATCGACGATCATTGTCATGTATGCCTAAATAAGCTGAACAAACTTCACATACACGTAATTTTTGTTGTTGATATGTTGATGCTGGCATTGTTGAACGAAATTCTTGTTCTGATTCTGATTTAGATTTTCTTAATTCTTCAACTTCTTCTAATAATTTCATTGATTCTTCAACTAAACCTTGTGCACCTAATTCTTCAGCTCTAGCTAATTTTGTACCAATTTGTTCGCCAAGTTCATGAATAGAATTCATCTAAATAAATAAATAATTTTATCTTTAATTTAAATAATAAAATATAATTTTACTTTTCTTGCAGCTTCTTCTCCTAATTCTTCTTGTGTTTCATGAAGTTTTCGTTTAGCATGTTCAGTTTTTCGATCACATTCAGCAACAAACTTATTTAATATTTCTAAAGCCTATTATATTAAAAAAAAAAAACATAAAATTCAAATTTTCATTTATTAAATATTCTTACATCCATTTCATAATATAAATCACGTGTAGCTGCTGCTCGTTCATAATCAGCACGTAAAGCATATTCATGAACTTTTGTACATTCACCCATATCAACACGCTAGAAAAAATATAATTCAATAAAAAGATTTTAAATATGAAAATGTTTTCTTACAGTTCCAGTAAGTACTTCATGTGGACAACAATTTAATAAAAATGGTCGACATACTCGACGATCTTCAAATGACATAGTTGATTTAGCTGAACCTGTAATATGTTGTTTAATATAAGAATAACAATGAACAAAAACAAGACAATGTTAGTTTTGAAATATTTAGATATCTTATTTTAAAAAACGCTCTTAATACGTACTTGATCTCCTCGAATACGTACCCTATCTGCTACGAAGAAACTTTTATAAAAAAACCAGAAGAAAAATAATAGAAAAATATATCAAATCAATAAATATGAAGATATCTTTTGTTAAGATATCAATTCAATGTTATAGATTATATATTTTACTCACGCAGAGGAGCCACTTTCTCGATTTATTTTTTTCAAATACTCACGATATTTATTTTGTAATAGGTGCCGCTCGCTGAGCTTATGAAACCCAACATAGACATATTCATCATGACATTAGCTAAAAACACATACTGTTCAAAGAGAATTTATGTAACGGATTAAAAATGAGATAATCATTGTCAATGTAAAACACAAAAAAAGATATACATTCTATCTTTAATGAAAAACTATTATTATTATTATTGATAACAAAAGAATATAAGAATGTTATCTTTTTTATTTCTTTACAATCAAACTATTTTTTTTTAGGAAAAAAATAAATAGGATAGTTTTGAATGAAAAGAAATATTTGTCTTTTTTATTTAGTTTAATTAAACATACCATTATCAGTTCCCATTAACTGATCTAACATAGCTCGAATTTGATCGCGAGCAGTCATTCTCTTGTATTGTTGTGAATGATAAATAGAATAATCTGAAAAATAAAATTCAAATGTCATCAAGAAGAAATAGAATTTATGTAGCAGGTGGCGCTTTATTGATTAATATACAATGTCTATGTCTGTTTTCCGCGCCAGAGATATGATCATTTTTTATTGTTTCAAAATACCATCGTTATATTACTTTATCGGAACATATGGTAGAGGTTTGACAATTAATAATTTATAATCTATTTTTAAATATTATTGTATAAAATTGAAAGAAGAATATTTGATATTTAGATTAAATTATATTAGAAATTAATTATCATCAATACTATGATAGATGGAACTAGTTGACATTAAATATATATATCCTGACAAATATTCTTAATATAATTGATATTAATAAGTTTTTATATGTTGTTAATTATTAAATAAGTCATCGAAAATAATAAGATTATAGATCGTTCTAGTAGACGATGGACTCATTTATATCATCATAGAATATATTCTATTAATAAATATAATTCACATGAGTATCTATACCAAGAAATATTTATCTCAAATATTAACTTTTATATACAGGATTGGAAAAACTATTTTGATAGGCGGGGGGAGGGCGAGTACCCGTATATCCTGAAACAGAGTTAATAATGAATTTTATATCAAATGAAAGCGTGTAAAAAATGGGGTTTATTGGTACTAAACAATAAGAGCTATAGAAGCTTTCGTATGCTGAAAGTGTCGAAGTTTAAGGAATTCTGCATAATATAATCGCTATAATTCATTTTTAGCGTGTTATCAGATAAAGAAAAAAGCAGATAGTTTTTGGAAAAATTGAGGAGTACTGTTCTAGTGATCACAGAGCCTTACTATAATTCAGAAGGTGCAGGAAAGAATTTTTTATCACATTTAGATTGAACTTTTCTTACACTTATGATCAATGGAATTTAGTAAGTTTAAACATTTCAAGATAGAAAAGTTTCTACAACCATTATTGTTTGGTACCAATAAACCCCATTTTTTACGGACTTTCATTTGATATAAAATTCATTATTAATCATATTTGAAAGTATGACAGTATTCCCCTATCAAAATATTTTTTCGAAACCTAGTACTTTGATTAAATGATAATCGTTTAGATTATATAAACAATTTTTGATAGTATGATATTACAAGTAGAGTTACGTAAATGTTATGATTTACATCCATTTGTTTATTATGATTGTTTCCTGATGAGAAAACATAATTCAACAATCACTTAGCAAGTATATATTTAATATTTTTTAATTATAAAATCATTTATTTTCTTTTATCTCATAGATGAATTAACATTTTAGACTATTATTTTTATAAGGTCAAGGTGAAAAGTATGTACATGAATCTAATTAAAACATTATTTATTGTACGATAAAACTCATTTATAATTTCGTTTACAAGACAACAATAAATCTAAATTGATATAAAATGTCAAATGAAATGACTGCAAAAAAAAAGTTATACAGTAGATAACGTACGAGATAAAATATAATGAGAACGAAACGGAATGAGTAAAAGAAAACAAAAAGAAAACTGCCTAAGATGACTTGATTGAAACAAAACATAACGTATAAATAAGCATTCATAATTGTCAAACATTATTGCCATCACCATCACTAGATATTATGATTAGATAAAAGTCTCGAGCTATTCATTCTACTTGGTACCAATATTTGAATATTTATTTATTTGTTCTTTAGCTAGAAAGAAATTCAAAAGAATATATTTTGTTTTTCTTAAATAATAATTAACTAATCATACCATCGCTAATATGTTTGTCAATAACAGGATGATGTTTAAGTACAAACGGACGTATAAGACGATGATATAAAATATGAGAACCACCTTTTTCTCCTGGAGCCATTAACCATAAAAGAAAAATACATTTACCAAACCAGTAAAATGGTAATGAATGAAAGAATGTATATCCAATATATTCAACAATACCAAATGAAGCATAAACAATCCAATAGATTAACCATTCTGTGTCATCATGGGTTGCTGCTGATTCAACAGCCAAAACTCTTTAAAAATTAATTTCCTTTTAATTATATTCATTGTAAATCATGACTTACGAAGCATAAGCTGGATAGATGAAGCCAATAAAATTACAGACAAAATCTTTAGCCCAACCAAGAATCAAATAGATTGCAATAAAACCAAGTAAACCTAATTAAATGATTAGAAACTATAGAATAGTATCAATGAAGATTGATAGATTTATACCTGTAGCAATTCGTTCACGTTTAACTTTAGTTTTTTGTTCAAGAATAGACCAATATGTAGTGAGTGGACCTTCATATAAATAGCCTTTGAGTGTATCTTCAAGGTTACGAATATGGTGTTGAATTTGAGCTGCCATTTAGATCAATTTGTATGAAACAGATGGCAAAGAAAGAAGGAAAGAAAGATAACTGATAAGAAAAGAAGAGAAAAACAAAACTAGAATGTATTGGATAAACCTATGAACCAATCCTACTCGTAAAACTACATGCTGTTTGTTTTTCTTCCTGTTCTTTATTATTCTTTTGATTTATAAATAGAAATTTCACTATTTAATATAAAAATACAAATATAACATTGTTAAAATCATCATTTTTTATTAATAAATTTTTTTTTATTAGATAAACTCTAATATTCATTATTGTTTATTTAACAAATCCTACTTTCTGAAAGATCTTGTTCATTATTGACAGTGTTTAGAACGATCTCTATAGTCTTGATTTATAAATGGCTATATTACCATAACCAATACATTCTGGACAAATCTAAACTGATGAAAAACTGCAATCGTCACACTTCATTCCTCACATATTTCGATAAAGACAATTCGAGATAGTAATGTTTTATAATACATTTATGTATAGTCGTTAGAAATCAGTCATTTGAGTCCAATTAACACGTCAGAAATATAAAATATCATATTTTTCCTCATACTTACGTCTATGATTAGTGCGCTGAATATATTTTCCATCGAGCCTTCATGGTATTTTTACACTTATTAAAGGTGTATTGGACTCAAAACTTCTCTTTCTCCCTTGACTAACTGATGTAAACATCTCATATGTGTCATTGAATATTTTTTAGATATAATTTTTGATATTTTTAATCTTTCAACAACAATGGCTCGGTTACTCTTAGCGGTTGTATGTGTGTTTTTCTTAATTTTTACTACCTTCGCCGATAAAGAACATGAAGAACATGGTCACGGTCATCATCATCATCATCATGATCACGATGGACGTAAGTACATTATAGTAAAACTATCTCATTATATTGAATGAAAATTATCTTCTAGATGATCATCATGATCATGAAGCACATAAAAACTTATTTAGTGGTATGTATATATATATATAATCTTGTTTAAATTTCTTTCAATAAAATAAAATTTTAGGATCAATCAAAGAAAAAGATGAAGAAGGAGAACAAGAAAGACTTCGTTATATTGCAATGAAAATTGATACAGATCAAAATGGTCAAATATCACGTGATGAAATGCGTACTTATATTCAAGAACGTATAAAGTTAGTGTATATTCAATATTAAGGAGACAAACATTGACTTTATTTTTCATTTCAGAGATCAAAATGCTCGTGAAGCAACTGATTTTATTTCTACACTTGATCCAACAAATAAAAATCAAATCACATTTGATGCATATGTTCGTGATAGTTTTGGTGATACTGATATAAGTCAATTGGAAAAAACGGATAAATCTGATTCACGTGCACGTGAAACTCGACGAACTTATTTTTCCGATAAAGCAAAATGGGATCATCTTGATACCGATGGTGATCAATCATTATCATATGAAGATTTTCGAAGATTTCTCCGACCAGAAGATGATGAAAACTTACGTAAACTTGAAATAAATAGTATTATTAAAGAATACGATGAAAATGATGATGGAAAAATTTCTAATGATGAATATTTAAAAATGACAGGTATAATTCTATATGAAATAAAATAAGAATCTTTTAAAGAAAATTCTTTTTGTAGAAGCTGAAACTGGTCAAGCTGAATCTTTAGGTGAAGAACTTGATATAAACAAAGATGGTTTTGGTGATTATGAAGAATTTGCTCGTTATTATTTACCCACATCATCATCAACAACCGATGAAGAAGCTGATCATTTATTAAAAGAATGTGATGCTGATCAAAATGGTGTTTGTACACCAGATGAAATAGTCAATGCATATACATCTTTTGCTGGCTCACAAATAACAGATTTTGGTGCTGATCTAGAACGTAAAGAAGAACTTTAGAAAAAGAAAATATTTTAACTTTTGATTCGCAATATATGTTTACTCATCATAAAAACAACACTATAAGACAATCAATCTATTCGTTTTTATTTGTTATTTAAAACCTCATGTTAAATAAAATAGATAGTCTTGCTATTCTTTTTTTTGTTTTGATTTCTTATTAAATGAGTGAGATTTTTTGTATTACCATTAAAGCAATACATATGTCTATGAACAAATCAAGAATTAAAAGGTTTCTATATCTATTTGCTATATTAATATCTTTAAATTGTATATCAATGGGAATAGTTCTCGAATAGATCGGTTTTTCAGCTTTATACATAATTGAATTATTCTATTCATTGGTTTAACGTTGTTCTACTTTCACAAATATTTTCATATGGATTAATACTAATACGATAATTTATTTACAACCAAAAATAAAATAAGAACAGAAGAATATGTATAGTTATTTTTATATTATGTTTGATAAAATAATAAGTATACATTATTCTTTTTTGTTCATTTCAGATGGTTAGTTAATAAACAAGAATATGTAATGATATAATCTATGTTTACGCTTTTTTCTTCTCCATTTAGCTACCTTTAACACTGCTTCGAACGGCGGTTTACCATCCTATGGTAAGTCATTTATAGAAAATTTATATATTTATTTCAATCGTATTTATAGTTGGTAGAATTGAAGAATGGTGAAACATACAATGGAAATTTACTAAGTTGTGACAATTTTATGAATATTCATTTACGTGATGTTATATGTACTTCAAGGGTAATTATTTTGTTTTTTTTTCTTGACAGAAAAAAGAGATCTGTATTTAAAAGGATGGTGATCGTTTTTGGAAAATTCCTGAATGTTATATTCGTGGTAATACGATAAAATATCTACGATTACCCGAAGATATTCTTGGACTTGTTAAAGAAGACGTCAATGAAAAACCATCACGTTCTGGATCATCAAATCGACGACCATTTCGTGGCCGTGGTGATGGTGGACGTGGAGGTAAAAATGGAAAAATAGCTTGTTATTTTTTAATTTCTTATGTACTTTAATAGGATATGGTGGCCGAGGTGGAGGAGGTGGTGGTGATCAACGTAATAATTATAAAGGTAGTGGTGGAGGTCGTGGTGGACATCAAGGTTCACGCGGTGGTGGCCGTGGTGGTGGTGCTGGCGGCGGTGGTCAACTACGTCAAGGACGATAATGTTTAAATAATATGGAGAGCAATGATTCTTAGTAACATTCAACGTCTTATCGCCATTTTCTTGTCTCAGATCAACAACTGAAATAACAAATATTCTTCAGTTTACTAAAAGAAACTTATTTTGTTTGTTTTTCCTTAAACTAAATCATTTCAATTATTTGTTTGTATAATGATAAAACCTAGATGATGAGAACATCAACATTTTCATTCTTTTCCTTACATTTTAGACAATATCACAGAGCACAATTATTTTTCAATGATCTTTAATATAAACGTTTTTTTTTGTAGAAAGTAAAGATCAATACAGAAAGAAATGGATGTAGTTTGCATTATCCTCAATAAACCTATCAAATTGTTCTTATATATACAGAAGAAAAAAAATACAACAATACAGGAAATAGAAATGAAATAGCCGAAATATTATAATATCACACACAATACAAGAAGCATATGAAATATTTTTTTATTCTGTTTTTTCTTCTATTTTATCATTATCATTTAAATGTTTAACAAAATGTTCATAAAATGAAAACCATTTTTTTGTTAATGGATCAAAAGACATTAAATCAATTGTATTCGGTTCATTGATAATTCTTGCATACAAACAGGTTCCATCTTTAGTCATTTCTCCAAATTCCTCAATAACATTTCTATTCCATTCAATACGTCCACGACGTTGTCCAGGTTGATGTAAATGTACTAGATGAGCTTGTTCTGCATGCACCTAAATAAAACATAAATTATTCTAATATTCAACTAAAAACCCAGACGATCTTTATCTTACTACAAATCGATTATTAATTGGTCGAATCATTTGTATAGGTAATGAACGTGTATAACCATAATCAACAAAGAATATCTTTAAAAAAAATCAATAGATATATTCGATTAAAAATCTTAAATATTGATATACATGTGCGAAATCTATATTTGGTTTATATTGTATAAAACGTCCACGATGCCATTGTAAACGTGATTTAACAGCGACTAATTCACCTTCATCATAATTAGTACCTGGACAAATACGTTTATGTTTATTATAACATTGTCTAAATAAATCAACAAACGTTTATCATTAAAACAGTAGAAAGAATGAAATAGTAATTATACGTCATCTCTTGTGTTAATTCTTTCAATACAACATTTTTGTCGGGTAATTCCTTTTGATCAAGTAATTCAGCTAAAAAAGAAACAAAAGAAATTCATCATTTATAAATGAAATAATTTACGTGTTTCTCCATTGCCTAGGTTCCAACTGGGACCATATATATAACGAATATAGAAACGAGTTGGTGTTTCAATATGAGTTACTTCTATTGGTAACCAAGATTTAATTAAAGGTGTTGATGGCATTAAACTTGTATCGACAATTACTTCTTCTTTGATGGGCATACGAGGACGTTCAGCTGAATCTTTTAAATAACAAATAGAATTAATTTAAATACATATAGAATCATTTACCAGATGTAATTGGTGTATCATTTGAATCCTTTTCATCATCACTTTCATCGCCTGTAGATACCGATTGTATATTTTCGTTTCCATTTCTCGATACGGTATTAAAAGGAGTTGCATCTGGATTAAGAGCAGATGATGGAGTAACAGGAGTACTTGTTTTTGTTTCTTTTTCATTTTTTTCTTCTTCCTCTTCCTTCTTTTCCATAGCAGCAATATCCAATGGTGATTGTTTATTCTGTTCATTTTCATTTTGTTCTTCATTAGTTATTTCTTTTAATACGTTTGTTTCTTCTATAATTGGTGTTTTGTCTCTTGTTGAACCATCAGTTGTAAGTGGAGATTGTTGAAGAGATGATGATAAAAATGTATTTGCAATATCTTCTTTTTCATTTTTTACTTGTGCTATAAATAAAAAAATAGAGGAAATTAATTTTAAAACTTTTTTTATTAATAAAGACAAAGATAAAACGAATAAATAAGTTAAATACTCGGCGAATGAATTATATAGATGATAATATTCATTTTGAATGTTGCTTTGTTTTACGAATAATTGATACAATTTTCGTTCATTCTTGTTTATTTTTGTTCATCTATTCTCTAGTGTAAATCTCAAATAAACACACGTATAAACTATATACGAACAAACAAACAAACAAACGAAAAAACTAACAGTAACGATAACCTTCATATGGTTTACTGATATGTAAAAAGAGTGAGAGAAGAAAAGAGAGAGAGAGAGAGAGAGAGAGAGTAGAAGAAAAAAAACTATATATCAATCAATAACATTTGGTTTTAAAGAGAAATAACAAATGGACGAAAAAATGATGTGACTTAGAGATATAGATTCAATGAGTAATGAAAGACAAGGATAGATATATATATATATTCATATAAAATTTAATATCGATGTACAAATGCCAAATCTTTGCTAACTTTATCAATAATACTATGGAATTTTTCATCGTAAATATTCATAATAATTGATGATGAAAAAGTAAGTGCATTAGTAGACATATAATCGAAATAAGAAGATGTACCTTGTTCAATGGATGGAAATCGATTTGAATTTGGTTCTTGTAAATTGTATAATATATATTGTTCTATACGAATTTTATTCGACCAAAATTCACATATATCATTATTCGATACACGTCGAGCTACTTTACAACTTTCAAGTGCAGCTCCAATATCCTAGTAAAAATTATTTATT